GCATCATAGGCGAGGAAAATGCTGACGTTGCCAATATCACACAACCCCAAGGATCTGGGGCAATTCCACACCGAAACGCTGTCAATGTCGAGAAAAACAACGCCGGTACCGTGATCGCTGCTAGACGTAACCCTATTCGCAATGTTAGAAGAAATCGTGATTACCAGTGTCAGTGGTGTGAAGAGCGTGATGATAATCAGATGGTGCAGTGTGATGGTTGCGATCGATGGTTCCATTTCGTATGTGTGGAAGTTTCAGAAGATATCGCCAACGTCAGTTGGGTCTGTCCGGAATGTAAGGACGTACTCATTCCCCTCACCAGTACTTCCACCACAACGACTGGTCAGCAACAACAAAATCCACCCCTAAAGAAGACCAATACAGTACGAACCAAGAGCAAGGCCAGCTCTTCCCGCAGTGAGGCTAGAAGGCTGAAAGAACTTGAGCTGAAAAGACTGGAAGAGGAGTTCGAGATGGAGAAGCGTTTTCTGGAACGAAGGTACAATGTACTTAAGGAGTACAGTAGCGAAACATCAACCGAGGTCGATGACGTCGAAGATCATGCATCGAGGATTGCAGAGTGGTTAGCTGAATCGAAACACCAAGGTGAAGATTCTGGATCAGTAACGCAGGAGACGAATTGGCCACCGAACACGTCGGGTAGGCCTGAGGAGCACCAAGCTTCAGATGTCGTCCAGTGCAAGCGAAATCCATCAATTTTCCGTACGAATCAACTTGGTCAGCGTCGGTTTTGCAGTCTGAACAGCAGTATCACTCAAGCCAGTCATCCACCACGTCGGTTGCAGCTCCAGAAAGGCAGTACGAACTTCATTCATCGGATGCTCATTGTTGGCAAACTGCACATTCGCAGTTCCACGATAAACCAACGTTCTTCCATAGGAAGATTTCGAATACACATTTTCGCCAACAAGCAGCTGATATTCCTGAGTTTGGACAGTTGAATATTCACGCTAAAGCACCGCTTGCACCTGAAGTAAATCCTAGTGCACAGAGTGGCTACCCGCAGCAAGCGCAGCCACAATTACATGCCAGACCATCGTTCGTTCCTTCCATTAATGCAGGTATCAATGTCAACGAGTTCGCTCCAGGTCAGTATTCAACTCCAATACAATCGACTCATCCGAGATTATACCCGGCAGCAACAACCGCAGACGAAACATTCTGCATTCTGAACCGGAACCAAATTGCAGCACGGCAGGCGGTGTCCAAGGATCTGCCTGAATTTGACGGAACACTGGAGGACTAGCCACTATTTTACTCTACGTTTAATTCGTCCACACAGATGTGTGGTTTCACGAACGAGGAGAATATGCTGAGATTACGCAAGTGCCTGAAAGGTAAGGCTTTGGAAGCAGTAAGATGCGAGCTACTTCACCCGTCAAACGTAGCGGATGTTGTGTCGACTTTGAAAATGCTTTTTGGGCGATCAGATGCAATTGTCCAGTCGATCGTCAAGAAGATCAGGAGTCTACCTCCACCAAACATGGAGAAACTCGAGACGGTGGTGAATTTTGCACTGGCTGTGAAGAATATGGTTGCGACAATCCGAGCCTGTGCTGTAGACGACTTTGTCTTAAGCGCATCACTCTGATACGAGTTAGTAGAGCGGTTGCCGTCAAGCCTAAAATTAGACTGGGCGAAGTTTGTTCGGAATAACCCAAACCCAGATCTAGTAAACTTCAGTGCGTGGCTGTACACTATAGCGGAGGATGTAAGTTCAGTGATGGTTACTACACTGATAGGCAAAATAAAGTGCCCACCCCATCATTTTTGAAATTTCTCTCATTTATTTGGTTCAAATTCAAATAAACACACCGTAGTCTGTTTCGATGTCTTACCTTTATTATTCTTTTAAAGTTACACCTATGGAATACTGAAAATATAAAGTTTTACTTGAAGTAAAAGAAAATCAATTTGGATTGAAAAAGAAAACAGTGACAAAAAAAAGTGCCCACTTCAAAAATCGGTATGTTTTCGATAAGTTTCCATCGGAAAACCCCTCGATTGTTTTTGTTTTGAAAGTTTGACATGTATTGAAGCAAACGGGTGGAACTGGTGCATTTGTACACGTGATCGCATTTGAATCAGTTGAAAAAAATGGAGGACGTAGTGATTTCGAAAGCAATTCCCGTGTGTATCCGAAAATTGGTTGTTCGTGATGTGCAAAACGGTGAATCGCACCGGTCTGTCGCTAGGAAGTACAATATCAGCAAAACAGCGGTCGGGAAAATTCTGCAGAAAATGAAATCGTTCGGATCAGTGGTGGATCGCCCTGGCAGAGGCAGGATGCGCAAAACGGATGCGAGAACGGACACCAAGATCATGCGTGAAGTGAAGAAGAACCCGAAGGTAACTGTCCGCGAGATCCAGGAGGCTCTTCAGCTAACAGTTTCCAGTCGAACTGTTCGTCGCCGTCTCGTAGCACAGGGGTTGAACAGCAAAGTTGCTCGGAAGCGCCCATTTATCAGCAAGGCAAACAAAGTCAAACGGCTTAAGTTTGCTAAGGAGCATGCTGATAAGCCCCTAGAGTTCTGGAAAACGGTTCTCTGGACGGACGAATCAAAATTCGAACTGTTCAACCGGAAGCGACGGGTTCGTGTGTGGTGTAGATCGGGTGAGGAGCTTCAGGAGCGCCACATACAAGGCACGGTGAAGCATGGAGGAGGAAATGTGATGGTCTGGGGGTGCTTTTCGTGGGGTGGAGTGGGAAGCCTGGTGAAAATCGACGGGATAATGACGGCAGATTCCTACATCGACATCCTGCGGGAAAATCTGGAAGTTTCGCTGATCCAGACGGGCCTTGAGGAGAAATTCGTATTCCAGCAGGACAACGATCCGAAGCATACTGCCAAGAAGACTAAGTCTTTCTTCCGGTCATGTCGAATTAAACCACTGGAATGGCCTCCACAAAGCCCGGACCTCAACCCCATCGAGAATTTGTGGGCGATTCTCGATGCCAGGGTTGACAAAACTGGTGTTACCAATAAAAATAACTATTTTGAAGCCCTGGAGCGCGCCTGGGAAGAACTAGATCCACAGCACCTGAAGAATCTAGTGGAGAGCATGCCGAAGCGCCTGCAGCTGGTCCTGAAGGCCAAAGGAGGACACATTAACTATTAGGCTGGTATTCTTTTACTTTATTTTATGTTTTCTGGAGTTAAAATGCAGTGGGCACTTTTTTTTGTCACTGTTCTTTTTTACACCCATTTTGATTTTTTTTTCTTCGAGTCAGTCTCTTCTTTTTATCTGGTATTCTATAAGTGAAACTTAAAAAGAATATAAAGAATAAGATATAAAAAAATACTACAGTGTATTTACTTTAATTTGAACCAAATAAATGAGAGAAATTCAAAAAATGATGGGGTGGGCACTTTATTTTGCCTATCAGTGTACAAATCGTGATCAGCGATGTCGTAGTACCAAGAAGGATGGGTTTCTAAATCTTCACTCTGAGTCAGAGTCCAGCAGCTCGGAACCGACCGAAGCGTCTACCAAGCCGAAGTCGATTGCACCAAAGGAAACTGTCGAAGCTGAATGTGTAGTGTGCAAGGGAAGCTGTTCGAACGTGGTGAAGTGCTGTAGATTCGAATGCTTGAGTTACTTCTCGAAGTGGGCAACTGTGAAGGAGTGCAGACTTTGCCGCAAATGTCTTCGTAAGCACAATGGCTCATGTAAACAACAGAAGAAATGTGGTACAAACGGATGTACGTACCTGCACCATCCTTTACTCTACAACCCGGTAAACCATCAAATATCAACACAATCGACGTCGCAACATACTACTGATTGTTTTCCACATTCGGAAGGATCAGAACCAAGCTGCAATTTGCATCAGGGACAGTCCACAGTGCTATTCCGCATCGTTCCAGTCGTATTGTACGGACCAAAAAAAAGTAGTGCAGACCTATGCGTTTATCGACGATGGATCTGAGCTAACTCTTATGGAGCAGAGTTTGGCAGAGGAATTAGGCGTTGAAGGACCCAAAAAATCTCTGTGCTTAAAGTGGACTGGCGGTACTCGAAAGTTAGAGAATGAGTCGCAACAGGTGAATCTACAAATCTCCGGGGCGCGAAGCTCAAAGAAGTACGATCTGGCCGGAGTCTACACTATGTCTTCTCTACAAATTCGTCCACAAACGTTGCTGCTTTGCGTGTTGCAGAGGAAGTATCCACATCTGTCTGGATAACCGCTTGAATCATATCATGACATAAGTCCGCGAATTCTAATTGGTTTGGATAACTCCGATCTCGAACACGGATTCAAGAGTCGTGAAGGAAAGCCAAACGAACCGATCGCTGTAAAGACGCGCTTGGGTTGGATGGTTTATGGTAACTGTACTGGCAAGCAAGATACAATCGGATACTTAAACTACCACAGCGTTCAAACCTGTGAGTGTAATCGGGAGTACGACGGTGGCCTCCATAAAGCGATGAAATCATACTTTGCGCTTGATAGTCTCGGAATCATCAAACCAAGCAAGCTTCTTCTTTCAAAGGAAGATCAGCGGGCGCAATCTTTGTTGGAATCTCTGACATGTCCTATGAATAACCGTTACGAATCTTGCCTTCTCTGGAAATACGATCACGTCCGTCTTCCGGACAGTAAAAGGATGGCTTTCAGACGTTGGAAGTGTTTAGAAACTCGGATGATTAAGGATCCCGAGCTTGCTGAGGCATTTAAATTGAAGATGCACGAACATATTAGCAAGGGCTATGCGCGAAAATTGATTCCAGAAGAACTGCACGAATCGCATGCTCGAATTTGGTACCTGCCAATTTTCGTAGTGATGAATCCCAACAAGCCTGGAAAGATACGCTTAGTGTGGGATGCTGCAGCCACTGTGCACGGTGTTTCACTGAACTCAGTTCTCTTGAAGGGCCCCGATCAATTAACATCGCTTCTATCCGTACTGATTCGTTTTCGTGAGTTCCGGGTGGCGGTATGCGGTGACATCAGAGAAATGTTCCACCAAATACAAATGTTGCTGGAAGATCAGCACTGCCAGCGTTTCTTTTGGATGGACGACGATGAGTCACAACGAAGTGTCTATGTTGTACAGGTGATGACCTTCGGTGCCTGCTGTTCTCCAAGCACTGCACAACACGTCAAGAATACCAATGCGAAGAAGTTTGAACAGGACTACCCAGACGCAGTCGACGCTATCATCAAACGGCACTATGTCGATGACATGCTCGTGAGCACGGAAACAAAAGAAGAAGCCGTGAAGTTAGCTCAAGATGTAAAGAAAATCCACGAACATGCCGGGTTCGAAATACGTAACTGGATCTCCAATTCTGCCATGGTCCAGGCGACGTCGAAAGGAGCAGCAACGGAGGAGAAAAATCTGAATATCGGCGAGGAGGCAACGACGGAAAAGGTGCTTGGAATGTGGTGGAACACATCAAATGATTGTTTCACGTACAAATTGTCTTCCCGGTATGATGAAGCACTTTTATCCGGTAGCCGTCGACCAACGAAACGGGAGGTTCTCCGGACGCTGATGATGATCTACGATCCCTTAGGCTTCATTGCACATCTTCTAATGTTCCTGAAAGTGCTTCTGCAGGAAATTTGGAGAACGTCGGTTGGCTGGGATGATCCAATTGAAGACTTGCAGTTTGAGAAGTGGCTGAAGTGGTTGGCAGTATTTCCGGATATGAGACTTGTTGAAGTACCTCGATGTTACCGATCATTGACGTCAGTAGAAGCTGAAGTAGAGATGCACACATTCGTCGATGCAAGCGAAAACGGTTTTGCGGCAGTAGTTTACCTCCGATTCCGAGAAGGGAACGTGATCGAATGCGCTTTGGCGGGAGCAAAAACCAGAGTGGCTCCACTGAAGTTCCTGTCCATCCCACGGTCCGAGCTACAAGCAGCGCTACTCGGAGTTCGATTAGCGGATACTATACTGGCGTCCCTCTCCATCAAGATCTACAAACGGTACTTCTGGACAGATTCCAAAGATGTCCTCTGTTGGCTGGCATCCGATCATCGGCGATACAGCCAGTTCGTGGCTTTTCGGGTCAGTGAAATATTAGAATCGACCGACGTCAACGAATGGCGATGGGTCCCAACGAAGCAGAACGTCGCTGATGAAGGAACAAAGCGGACACGAGTTCCTGATTTTTCCAGTGATAGCCGGTGGTTCCGTGGACCAGATTTTCTGAAAGAAGACGAACATGGCTGGCCAGTAACCCCTAGCTTCAAAAAATCAACGGATGAAGAAATTCGGACACACCTGCTTATCCACGCAATGTAAGTGGATCCAGTGATACGTGTGCAAGATTATTCTAAGTGGATTCCTCTTCTTCGTCGGACGGCATACATATTTCGCTACGTAGAAAATCTTAAGCGTTCCATGAGAAAGGAACAACGCACCAGCGGACCATTGATTCAGCAAGAGTTTGCTAAAGCGGAAAACTATCTGTTTCGATTAGCACAGTCGGAAGCCTACGCTGATGAAATCGCTACGATATCCACACGCGACTCTACAACAGACCCGCAAAGGAAGATCGTCCGAAACGACCCGCTCTTTCGCAGTGCTTTCTTGGATGACAACGGAGTTGAACCGATCATTCTTCTTCGCCATCATCATATTACACGACTGATTGTCTCCGACACTCATGAGCGGTTGAACCACCAGAACCATGCTACAATTATCAACGAACTTCTTCAGCGCTACCGTATTCCTAGGCTGAAAGCGACTTACTACGCCATTCGGAAAGATTGTCAGCAGTGTAAGAATGATCAAGCAAGACCGCAGCCGCCAATGATGGGTGATCTTCCACAATCACGTCTGGCTGCGTTTAGTCGACCTTTCACTTACATGGGGGTGGATTATTTTGGTCCGATACTAGTCTCGGTGGGCCGACGATCTGAAAAGCGTTGGGGGGTCCTAGCTACTTGTCTCACTACTCGCGCCATCCACCTGCAACTCGCTCACACACTGACCACGGATTCGTGTGTGATGGCAATTCGAAACGTCATGGCTAGGAGGGGAGTTCCCGCTGTTATCTATAGCGACCGTGGAACCAATTTCCAAGCTGCTAGAAAGGAACTCAAAGCAGCAATGGAGCTACTCGACCATGACAAGCTAGCGAACGAATTCACTTCAAGCCGCACTCAGTGGACCTTCATCCCACCGGGTTCGCCACATATGGGTGGAGCGTGGGACGGCTGATTCGCAGCGTCAAGCTGAACCTAGCTAAAGTACAAACTAGCAGACTACCTACCGACGAAGTGTTGCAGAATGCGTTGGTGGAAGTTGAAAATACCATCAACTCACGACCACTGACCGACATTCCTGTAGATGACGATGAATCGCCCGTTTTGACGCCCAACCATTTTCTGCTGGGGTCAGCAAATGGCTTAAGGTCGTGGGTTCCCATCGATGACAGTCCTGTGATGCGGAGGAACTGTTGGGCTCAGTCTCAGATCATGGCTGACATGTTCTGGAAGCAGTGGGTAAGAGATTATCTGCCCACCATTACGCGTAGAACCAAGTGGTTTACACCAGCGAAACCAATCACTGTTGGAGATATCGTAGTGATCGTCGATCCGAAGCTGTTCCGAAATTGTTGGCTTAAGGGTAGAGTTATCGCTACGCATCAAGCTCCCGATGGACAGGTACGTTGGGCAACCGTACAAACAGCATCTGGTGGAATATACGAGCGCCCGGCGGTTTCATTGGCTGTGCTCGACGTAGGCGTTAGGACGAATACGCTATTGGAGGATCCTTCGCGCATTCCGGGGGAGTGTTGACTACGCCCCGTCAGAATCAAACGTGACCGTGCCCACATTTAACGCTCCGCTACTGTACGCCACACCCAGCGCTGTTCAAGGGATTAATAGCACTACGAATGAATCATCACCCGAAGAGATGCAAAATAACAACAAAGCGGCCATCGTGATAAAGTTTGTTTTTGTGTCTCCAAGACAATACATAAATTAATCTACAGTTTTTTTTTTTAAACGACAATTAAGTACTTAATACTAAATTGGTTATTCCTAAATTTACGGAAATTTGAACTATCATCTACTGAATTTTTCGGATTAAGCTAAATTTAGGTGAGTTATTTACAAGATAATGATATAAGAGTGAAAATATCGTATAATACTACATCTAGACGAAAAGGAGGTTATTCAATGAGAACCAGGCTTTGAACAGCCCGTAATGACGAATGCCATTGTATTGTCGTTAGCTCATAGGTGAGACATTCCTTAATTCTAAACTATAGCTATTAAATACTAAACGAATATTATATACACAAACACAGGTCGTTAACTGCCGGATATTCGAATATTACAGTTGTTGTTAGAGAAACTAGAAACACTAAAAGTAAGATTAACTTATACTTAATTGATTAATCTGCTGACATTACCAGTAAAAACTGTTTCATTCTTAGGAATTTTATAATTTACAACATCGACAGATTAAATTCATGGAATTTAGTTTCTTGTTTCACTCTCTCAACAACACATGCCTTTTAAATAATGGCTCAATATTAAAATTTGGTGACCAAATTGCCGAGAACCAGCCATGTCAACATGAATCGACACGCATTTTTGCGGGTTTTCCGTTCCGGAGGGCCAACCACAGGCCCAATCGGATTTTTACTTATTCCAAATAAAAGTAGATAGCAATACCTTTCGAATGGTGGTTAAATCATGACGATTGATCATCGCATTCACGATAAACAACCATCGACACGCATTTTGTACACCGCCAAACCGACATGAAACTTAAACTTAACTCTTCTTTCCTTCTTTCCTTTATTTAACGTCGGTCTCTGTTCCGCAATCTAGTGCCAATCACCGACGGACATCGATTGCCATCCATTGACGACAATCGAATGTGCAGGAAGGCAGCTTCCACACCTGCGTAGGATATCGCACCCATTCACAACACACACATGGGCCGGGACCAACGGCTTTACTTCCCTTCCGAAGGAAGACGTGACCAGAGATTTTTATGCCTCAGAAAAATCCCACCGGTCTCGGGTGGGATTGAACCCAGACCCATCGGGGTGTTAGAAAGCATTCACGCTTACCACTACACCACCGGCGCCAGCTAAACTTAACTCTTGATCGAGATTGAAATATGCAGCGATCCCATCTGTCGAAACCATAGAAATGTTTTATCTAGATAAAAATAATTTGTCCGAAATAGATTAGACACGAACCAACTCATAACACGGTGGCAGATGTCAGTTTTGTGTTTTGGTCAGAAATTTCTTTGTAATTTGTATGATCACTTTAAGGAAATTTCGATGGACTGAGTTAAGCGTTACACCGGAAGAGCGGGGGTATTGGTAAATGTGTTATGTTTGGCTACATGCGGGAGGGGAAAACTATAAAACTGCAATTTTTTAGGTTACGTATTTTGTGAACCTAACCTTTCTCAAAATTAAAACAAGATTTGTATTGCCGCAGGCCGATTCTAAGCAACCCATGAAAAGAGCTCATGCAGAGCAAATAAACAATAGACCCGAGTGGAATCGCCGCCTACTCCAGCAACGGATTCAATTTTCACCTGATAATGCTCTGATAAATTATTGCGAACCTTTATCCGAACCAACAAAGGGAAAATTCCGAAACACGAGAGCTCTTTTCTGTTTCCTTTGAATTTCACCCGAACCTAATCCCCGAAAGGTCCATTTGATATAGCCCGAAGAGGAGAACGGAATGGCAAAAAGGGATCAACTGCCTGATTAGTGTTTGAATGCTTTCGTTCGAATGCGCGGGAAAACCTTTTTTCTCCTTCGTCGCCGTCGTCGTCGCAGTTGGAAGAAGGAGCATCATCGAGGGCGAGCATCTATGCAAATAATTTCACTCTCCCGCTCGTCTTTCATCATTTCCGTGTGAAGCCCGGGGAAATGCCATAATCTTCGGCTTCCTTCCCCGGGCGGTGATTATTTAGGAAGAGCTTCGGTGTTTTTGCGTCCCCTTTTTGTGGAAAGAGAAAAATGGCATGAAAGGGATAATATTCTCCAACAGTGAATAAATTGAAGTGGAAATGGGTCAAGTTAAAAAGGTTTACGATTTTTATGCTGATTTCCAATTTACTGTTTGCTTGTTATCAGGGATATCCTTGCAGTGTTTTACCGCTGCCATGGCAGCCAAATTCCCTGCAATGGCTACTACTGCGTTACTGTTAATGGAGGAAAACAGCTCTCAGAACGTCAGGTCCTTCAAAATTAATTACGACATAAAGTACACACATCAACATGGGAAAACATAAACATCTTTGATCTCGTTTACCGCCTGGATCTAGGGGGAAGAGTAAAAATACTCGTAAACGGACGGATAATGCAAGCTCCCGCAAGGACAAGCTGTTTATCCTGCGTCATAGTGCTTCCGTTGCATCAACCTACTCAGTAGCAGGAGTAGTTCTTTCGCTTGCTTAGCATAGGAAAGGACGACCATGAAGTGAACAACCGTCCGTAGTGATGGATGGAAGTTTTAATCTGCCGGTTGCGCATAAAAGTATGTGTACACATGGTTGAGGATAAGAACTAGGCGGTAGACTGGCTTTAGTGTCTCTTGTCATCATTGAGAAGATTATGATAATGCCAATGTTGCCTTTGTGGGAAATTACTTTCAGGATGCAGCTTGCGCATCAGAAGTACAATATTTTCCTTTAGTACTCAGCCGGATATTCGCTGGAAACTTGAGCTCGGTTCGCGAAGTCTTAATGGAATGAGTCAGCATCACGTTTTTAATCTTTGCAGCCATCTTCAACTCACAACGGAACGGTCGATGCCATATATCATGGATCTTAAGAAAAATTACCGCAACTGTCAAAGTTCTACTGTCAGTATGAGAATTAGCTGGATGCAGAGAAAAACATAGTGTGCAATGACAAAGTTGAAGTGTTTTCGTTGGCGATTCTTCGAAACTTTGTTTATTTGACAACTCAGTGCCAACATTTCAAAGGGGCGTAATTGCTTTTGTAAACAATGACTTTAGCCGTCAATTTCTCGCGAATGAAATCTTACCTCTCCAAAATAACAATGCTAGCTGGTAGAGGAAACATTCCTCTACCTTCTGGTGTCATTATTTTTCATGAGTGAGCTTTTATTCGCGAGAAATCAACGGCTAAAGCCATTGTTTACAAATGCAATTACGCCCCTTTGAAATGTTGGCACTGAACTGCGAGCGATGGAACTTCTTATTCTTCTTATTATGACATTTGCCAATAACGGCGTATTTGTGCACCACTTATTTTGTCAAAGCTCAAATGGCAGGGATAAGATCTAC